GTAAAAAAAAAAAAACTAAGAACCAGAACCAGCTCGATTTTATCACGGGTCCAGTTCCAATACCCGTAGTCTAGGCCGTATCGACCCTTGCCATGTCTATTTGTAACAAACAATTTATAAACAATAGGGCCAAAATTGTCAAAGGTGGGATTGGTCTTGACTGATATTTTGAAAATTTCAGTGATTTTGTGGATATTGCACATCACTCTTTCAAGGTGGGATTGGTCTTCTGTTTTTTATTTGTCAAACATCAAATTTTATAACCAAAACTGTACAAATTCGAGCAACCAAGGGGCTACAAGTTTCCTCCACCAGCTAGCTGACACTAGAAAAAGAGGAAAACAGAGGGAGAGACGCACGGAGATCTCCCCTAAAGGACCCAACTAGGCCAACAACACCACACTACACACAAGCTACACTAAAGGAACAAACACCTAAGTCTGAAACTGATAAAGCAATACAAAAATATCCTTCAGGACTACAACAAAAACTGAAGAAAAAAACCACTAAATTATTGAGCTTATTTGCCACCACTTTGTTCTTCACAACCACCTGCACCTTATGCCACCCCTTGACTCCAACTCCCAACCATTCTCTGATTTGCAGGAGGTCTGCTTCCACTGAGTGTTGCACATCACCCCTAGCCACAATCCACCTTGCAACTTCAGAGTCATCAATAAAAGCAAGCCCTCTAACCACACCCTCAAACACTGATGAAACATTAGCACTGGGTTCACTAGCATGTCCCCCTACTCCTTGCTTCATCTCTGAAATTCTCACAACCGCATCATCCTTCTCAGTTTGATCTCGAAGACTATTTTCTTGGATCCCCTCAAACTCTAACCACTCCAACTTAGCTTCATCCACAAGCCTCTGCTTTTCTTTCCTTCCTAAATATCCAATTATTCTTTGTCTTCCATAACCACCACATTGGCTAAGAGGATAAAAAGATTCTATCTATACATCTATCTCTCCCCTTCACTTTGCACACCTCCTCCCACCACTCCTGAAAAGTAGCCTTCTGGCAATGCCGCGTTTCCCATGAAAGCCCTGCAGGCCTTTTGAGCCCTCTCACATCTAAACAGTATATGCTCCACAAATCTAAATCAAGTTAACTCTCATTTTTGAACGATGTATCAGCTCTTATTGCATATTCTACCACTAAAGAGGTGAAACTTGACAAAGGCTCCTGAAAATCCGGTGATTCTTTCTCGAAAAGTCTATTTTGACAGCTCTCTCATAGCTTGCAAATACTAATAATGATACAAGATAAAATGTATACATGTGT